GGGCGGCGAAGGCGAGGACGGCGACGGCGGGGCGGGAGGAGGAGGGGGTGGTGGCGGCGCCGGGGCGGGAGGAGGAGGGGGTGGCGGCGGCGGGGAGGGCGAGGCGCCGCCGCCGGCACCACCAAAGCTCGAGCGCAATGCCACGTTCGAACTCTCGGTCTTGACGAGGCACTCGACGTTGTTCGCCGGCGCCTTCAACGCGCGCGTGATGTCGCCCTCGCATGTGAACACCTTGCACATCGGCAAACGCTTCGTGAGGTACCAGTACTCGACGGCGGTGCAGGCCCTCAGGCAGCGCTGCTCACACAGTTCGGCGCTCTCGCCGAAGCCCCTGTACTCCTCCTGGCACTTGCCGCCGTTTACGTCGCAGAAGCCGGCGTAACGATCGAACCCGGGCGCAGCCGAAACGGGCGCGACGACCGAAGGGAGAAGCGCGTCGGAGCCGTGCGAGAAGTAGGCGAAGGCGCCGCCGCTCGTGGCGATGAGGCAGGTGCAGATGATGCAGAGCACCTTCGGCCAGCAGAGCTTGGGCCACGAGAGCCAGCCGGAGGCGGAGACGGAGCCCTTCGGCGTGGCCGTCGTGGTCGTCTTGGGGTCGACCGTCTTGTTGACCGTCTTGGGGGTCTTGGGCTTGACCGTCGCGCCCTGAACAGGGGCGCGAGACTGGCTGTGAGCGGCGAGCAGGGGGCGGAAACTGCACGTGCAGGCGGCTAGCACCGAGTTTGTGGCCGACGGCGTGGATCCGCGGGTCGCCTTGGACGCCGCCTTGCCACCAACGGGTTCGCCAGCGACGTCTTCGTCTTCCTCGTCGACGTCCGTTCCGAGCAGCTCCGCGAACCCGTTGGGGTCGACGCGGCCGATCGGGGTGAGGTTCTTGGCCGTCTTGGAGCGGTCGACCAGGTTGGACTCGCTCTTGCGGAGCGGGGAGGGGGACTTCCACTCGTCGATGCCCTGCGCGCGCACGGTCAGGGAGTGGGTTGGCAGAAGCGCGCAGAGGAGGCCAAAGCCGCAGGCGAGGAGGGCCGGCCGGGCGGTGAGCGGGTGGTAGCGCGTGCTGAGCTAGGGCGTGTGGGTGCCGTGAGGCGCTGTGCCCGGCGGGGAGAGCGGTTGCGCGAATCGGAGGCCCGGGCGGCTCGATGTGTTGGCGTTTTGGGACCGTCGCTGTGCACCGCAGGCGAGGAGGGCCGGGCGCGCGGAGAGAGGTCTCGTCTTCGGGGCGCGCGAGTCGGGTGGGCGTCAGGGTGCGTCCGAGCGAGTGAGGGCCCGGGAGCAAGCGTGGTTTGGGCCGGCGAGCACCGTGAAGGGGGATCCATCGGCACGCCTTGCTCAGTGGCGCGAGCGACCAGGACCACGCGCCCCTCGTGGCTACATGCACATCCACATCCACGTCCACCTGCAGTCCGGATCTCACGCCGATCGTGTCGTCGCCGTTGCTCGGGGGTGCTCGGGCCGTTGCTCGGGGGCGAGGCGAGGCGAGACAGGCGGAGGCCGGAGGCCCCACGTGAGAGGTGAGTCCCGCTTAGGCCGGCGGTGAGGGACGGACGAGGGGTGTCTGCATGGTCTGTGTCGCTCTTCAAGTTTTTTCATTTTTGTATTTTGACCTCCGCTCCCGGGCGAGGCCCATGCCGTTCCCCCCACCTCCCCCTCTGCGCTCTGCCTCTGGCCCTGCGCCCCCCGGCAAAAGCCAACCCCCCCCCTGGCCCCGCCATCGGCCGAATCGCGTTTTTTTTCGCGCAAATCAACCCCACGCCCCATCGCGCGATTTTCGCGCGAAAGAAAAATCAGCCGTCACTCGCCAACGCGCACTCGGACTCGCCAAGGCGCGCATCTATCGTCGCTCGAGTCCTCGCCCACTCCTGCACGCACGAGCGCTCGCCCAAAGCCGCCGCCTCGACCACAACCCTCCAGTCCCACGGACAGCCCTGCTCGAGGGCCCACTCGAGCACGTCGAGGTGGCCTCCCCACGCAGCCGCCTGGCACACCTCCTCGCTCCACGGGTGGCCCTCGGCCCGCAGCGCGCGCAGCCCGTCCAGGTCGCCACGTTTGGCGGCCAGCGAGCACGGAGTGTAGTTCGGGCGGGGCGCCGGCTGGCGCGGCCGGAGGTAGTCGTCAGCGGCCATGAAGAGCACCTCGGACTTGCCCGCGAATGGCAGGCGGGTGCGGCGTATGCGCGGGTCCTTTTCCTGCAGGTAGGCGACAAAGGCGGACTGCTTGCGCACTCCTCCGCCCGACGCCATCTTGCGGGGCTGGAAGAGCCGACCGAAGGCGCAGCAGGGCACGACGGCGAACGGCCTGCCGTGCGCGAGCGCCGCTTGCACGATGGCCTCGGTGGGCTCGTCCGGGTGGAGGCCGACGATGGCAGCGCAGTCGGCGACACACGACGGCCAGACGTGCTCCATGACGTGCTCGAGCGTGTGTCGGAGAATGACCAGCGGCTCGTTGGAGGCTGCAGCGGCGGCAGCGGCGGCAGCGGCGGCGGCGGCGTCGGTGCTGTCCGTGCCAAAGGTGTCGGAGTATAGCGCTCGCCCCGCGAGCGCACACGGGTCGACAAGCGCCACTCTATGGCCGAGCGCGACCAGTGCCGACGAGAGATGCCCCTTGCCGCCAGCCACGTCTAGCACACGGCGATTCAGTTGCGGACCGTGAGGCAGCAGCTCGCGAGCGATCCACGCTGCGAAGAGTGTGTGACGCTCTCGCTTGTCCTGCAGCTCCATTTCCCGCGGAAAAGCCGAACGCCGCGCTGACGCGACCTCTGCGAGTGGAAACGGGACGTACGGACGAGCCGAGGACGATAGAGAGACCGCGGGCGCGGGCGCGAGTCCTCGACCGAAGAGAGCTGGCCCCACCTCCCCGGGAGGGGCGGGTATGGTTCTTGCACTTGTGCAAGATTGGGCGTCTTCTGCCGCAGTCCCTTTGATGGGAGGCCCCAGGGTGGGGGCCACCTCGAACCCCCGGCCAGGGATTCGAGCGGAGGGTGCCCCGGATTCATCTATCCGTTGGGCCCCGGCACCTATTTTAGAACTGATCACTTTGCGCAGCAACCGTCGGCCGCCGCTTTTTAGCTGGACGGCGGTACGCTGCGCCGTCGCTCTGTCGTGCACGCTCTCGTGCCTCGTTGTTGTGACACGGGAGTAGAGTCGAGAGGTAGCCCTCGACGAGACGACCGGCGCCGCGATGCCAGACCTCACTGCCGCCGAGCTCAGCATTCCGGCCGAGCAGCACCCCGATCCCGCAAAGCCACTGGTGATACCCGTCGACTCAACAGTGGTAGGCTCTACCCTGCGCTTCATTCCGTGGTCTGTGGTGGGCAATCCGGCCCTCCTCCAGCTGCCCCCTCCTCCTCCGGGGATGCAACCGTCGTGGGTCCAGATTCCGCAGTGGGTCGCCATCAGTGCGCTGCTCGCCTTCAGTGAGCCCGAGCCCGCTGTGGCCACCCACTTTGACAGGCTCAGCGTCTTGCGGCTGGCCGTATTGGCCGCGGCCTGGCGCCGCATCCTCGGTGCCTTGTCCGACCTCGGCGTCTTCAGCACGGTGCACGTGGATGAGGATGCGTTCCGTACGGTGTGCATCCAGGCTCTGCACTCCCGCCAAATCCCGGTGCCCGAGCTCTATCTGCAGTGGGGCGATTTGGGGTACTCTGAGGCTATCGTGCCCTTGGGACCAGCGCCATCTGCAGAAGCGAAGGCCGTCGACTTCTTGCAGTACGCGACGGTCGGGGCTCTTTGCGACCCTACGGCCGACGTCCCGTTCGCAGCCCTGTCTGACATGACCCGCTGCTTGGGGCCCGTCTTCACGGCGGCGGCGCGCGTCGATCCCATGGGGAGCGCCGTCGTGGGGGCTGCATCGCTCGCCGCCGCCGCTGGTCACATCACTCCGCGAGCGAGCGATGGGCATCCCGCCCTGCTCTCTCGGCATGTGCTCAGCATGCTGAAGACTACCCGCGCGAGTTTCCCGGCCTGCCTGAGGACCAACTCCTTTCAGAACTACTCTGCGGAGGTTGAGACTCGCGCCGAGTATGTGGGCGGGACCGCCGTGGCGCGCGACCGAGTGGCCGAGCAACGTTGCTCGCGCGCTGGGTGGGGGCCACCTCGAACCCCCGGCCAGGGATTCGAGCGGAGGGTGCCCCGGATTCATCTATCCGTTGGGCCCCGGCACCTATTTTAGAACTGATCACTTTGCGCAGCAACCGTCGGCCGCCGCTTTTTAGCTGGACGGCGGTACGCTGCGCCGTCGCTCTGTCGTGCACGCTCTCGTGCCTCGTTGTTGTGACCCACCCTGTCCCACCCGTGTGTGATCAGTGTCTACGGGGGGGAGTGTCTTCGGCTCACGCCAGGGCGCTCGTTGCTCCTCCGTCTCTTTGTATCTTCCATACTGCGTTTATCAGAAGACCGTGGCGATCCAATGCCGCCGCCCTCGCCCGAGGAGTCGGGCATGGGATCACCGCCGTCACCGGAGGCGGAGTCAACAGGAGCAGGCAGCTCCATCTCCCGCGGAAAAAGGAAATGCGGTGTCTTGCGGGCATTAAGAATTTTACCACAAAAGCCTTTCGCACACGCACGATTCACACGACAGACAAGGCGCAGGCGATGGCTTCCTTAGACATACACACGATTCAGACCCATGTGCCATGACGCCCAGCATATGACGCATGTGTGCCGACTTGTGTCATACCCTGATCGCTACGGTTTCTCAGCTCTCCGCGATGCGGAGCGCGTGCATCGACTTTGCACTTTCTCGAGCGCATCGGTCACGGAAAGTACGTCGAGTGGGTGCGCAACCGGCCCTTAATTAACGGGAAACCGGAAACACTTCTCCCTCTCGAGCCAAACAGGTAAGGTAAGGTAAGGTAGATTTCTCCACACACACAAGTGGTGGGGCAAGGAGGGGCGACCCTCGCATCTCCACACCCGGACACGGGCAGGAGCCCCACGGCATTCAAAGTGCAAGCACTGGCCCGGTGCACGTGGGTGAGCAGGCAGCAGCCTGCCCCTCCCTCCCGACAAACCAACTCCCGCACACACACAATCGCACTCTGGCCATCGAATGACTCCGAATGACTCACTGTGTGTGCTAAGACAAAATCTCCGCAGACAGCCAAAACGGGCCGACCCGTGCCGCGTTTGTGGTGTCCTCTCAAGCACTAGCATCTGGGCGCCGCACAGAGCGCACTCGACTCTCGAGCGGGCGGGAGCCAAACAATCGAAGAGAAAAAAAATCTCGCGGGACTACTCATGTGCACCTTCCCCGCTACTTCTCCCGTACGCGGCAGCGTTCCTTAGCACTTGGAGCACTTGGAGTGCAGTTGGCAGCCTCACATCCAGGGCCGGGGAGCTCAGAAGCGCACCCAGCGGGCCGGATGATCGGGATCGGGTTGCCGGCAAGAGAGCCCTAGCCCCTTAGCGAGGATATTTTAGGTCACAGACACAAACACAGACCCACATGCTCACAGACCAACATACTCGCGCCCACAAGCCATCCGGTGCGAGAGCATTCCGAGCTGCGTGTTGCCTCTTATTCGCGCTCCCCAACCGCCCGCGCGTACGCCACCGCCGCCTCCACCGCCGTGCCGAAGCAGCCGAAGGAGACCTTCTTCCCGCCCTTCTGGTCAGCGGCCACGAAGCGGCCCTTGACCTTGCACACGCCCCTGTAGCCGGTACTGTTGTTGCTCGAGAGATGCAAGCGCAGCCCCTCCGCCTCCGCCACGACGCCCACCCGCAGGAGCGCCGCTGCCGCCTCGTTGTCGGAGTCCATCAGCACGGGGGCGGCGGCGGCGACCGCCCGCGCGTACGCCACCGCCGCCTCCACCGCCGAATCGAAGGTGCCGAGGGAGACCGCCCGCCCGCCCACCTTGCGCTGCGCCTCGAAGCGGCCAGAGACGCGCTTGGTCACGCCCTTGTAGCCGCTGCTGCTGCTGCTCGAGAGGTGCAGCTGCAGCCCCTCCGCCTCCGCCACAATGCCCGCCCGGAGGAGCGCCGCTGCCGCCTCTTTGTCGGAGTCCGTCTGCACGACGGCGGACTCCGCGCTGCCCTCGCCGCCGTGGGACGGCAAGTCCATGCCAGAGAGCACGACCGCCGTCTCCTCGGCGCGACCCGCCGCGCTAGCATCCAGCCTCAGTCCGTGTGGAGGCTCGAGCACGTCGGCGGCGGCGGCGGCGGCAACGACAGTGGCAGCGGCGGCAGCGGTGGAGGTGGCGGCAGTGGCGGCGGTGACGGCAGTGGCGGCGGCGGCGGCGGCGACCGCCCGCGCGTACGCCACCGCCGCCTCCACCGCCGAATCGAAGGTGCCGAGGGAGACCACCCGCCCGCCCACCTTGCGCTGCGCCTCGAAGCGGCAAGGCAAGGTCGCCCGCTTCGAGTAACGGCGCACGAGAAGTGCGGGACACCTCCTCTGGTCCCGAGTACGGGCCTCGCGCACGCCTGCGTAGCCGGTGCTGCTGCGGCTGGAGAGGTGCAAGCGCAGCCCCTCCGCCTCCGCCACAATGCCCACCCGCAGGAGTGCCGCTGCCGCCTCGTTGTCGGAGCCCGTCTTCATGAGGGCGGACTTCTGCGCGCGGCGCTCCTCGCGCTCCGCCTGCCGCTCCGCCTGCCACTTCGCCTGCCACGCCTCGGTGGCCACCCTCCGCTCGACGTTGGCGAGCAGCCGGTCGACCACCTGCCGCAGCTCGAGCCTCTCCAGCTCCTCCGCCGCCGCCTGCGCCGCCTCTGCGCCCTCCGCCGCCTCTGCGCCCTCCGCCGCTGCGGCCCGCACTGGCCCTTGCGCGCCTGCCGCCTCCGCCTGCCCGACCGCCCGCGCGAAGGCCACCGCCGCCTCCACCGCCGTGTCGAAAGACCTTCCTCCCAGGCAGACCTTCCTCCCGTCCACCTTGTGCCTCACGACGAATTTAGAATGGTTCTTAAACACGTTCCTGTAGCCGGTGACGCTGCTGCTCGAGAGGTGCAGCCGCAGCCCCTCCGCCTCCGCGGCCACCGCTGGAGCCTGCCCGGCCGCCCGCGCGTACGCCACCGCCGCCTCCACCGGCGTGGCGAAGGTGCCGAGGGAGACGGTCTCCTTGCCGTCCACCCCGTGCCGCGCCGTGAAGCGGTCCCCGTCCGCCGCCTTCACGCCCTTGTAGCCGGTGGCGTTGCGGCTGGAGAGGTGCAGCCGCAGCCCCTCCGCCTCTGTCGTCTGCGGCTGGGGGGCGGGCGGCTGGTACACTCCAGCAGCTCCTCCGAGCGGGACTTGCTTCGCCGCCGCGCCGCCGTAGGGAAGCGCGTCGAGTCGCTCCCGCTGCCGCTCGGTCATCTTGGCGCGTCTCGCTCTCGATTCATCGCGATCGCCCGAGCGGCTCATCACCCAATGCCCTGCCTTCCACCTGTGATCGCCCCATGGCGCCGCCATCTCGTGACTCTTCATTAGCCGCCATCCCGGCTCCGCCTGCCGCTTCCGCGCGACCTCTACCTCCAGCGCATCGAGCGCATCATCGACAGGGATGTGGCCATACGGCAGCGCATCGATGCGCTGCCGCTTCCGCTCCTCCGTCACCCAGCAGGCCAAGTTTGGGTTCCACACCTTTGGCCGCCCGCTCTCGTCGTTCGGCGCGCGGCCCCTCGGCCGCTGAACGGGCGGGCCAGCGGAAACCGCCGCAGCGACGGTTTCCGAGGCGGTCGCCTGCACCACGGGCGCCTGCACCACGGAAACCGTCGCAGCGGTCGCCTGCACCACGGAAACCGCCTCGGCGACCGCTGCGACGGGGCCCGCGGCCGCCTGCACCACGGGCGTGGCCTCGATAGCCGGGGCTTCTGTGGGGGGCGGGCCTCCCATTTGAACGTGCAGTAGCGGCGGCGGCTGCACGGCCGCTTCCGGCTCTGGCTCTGGCTCCTCGGGTGGCGGCGACTTGCCAGCGCTGGTCGCACTCGAGCTTTCACAGCCGTTATGAGAAGAAAATACGTCAGGCTAGGGCTCTCTAGTCTTGCCCGCAACCCGATCCCGATCATCCGGCCCGCTGGGTGCGCTTCATAGCTCCCCGGCCCTGGATGTGAGGTTACCGACTGCACTCCAAGTGCTCCAAGTCAACGCTATGCTAGGGTACCCACAGGGCCCAAAAAAGAAAAGAAAAAGAAATGGGCCACCCCAGATCGCAGCACTTCGTGTTGGAGAGTCGAGATATTGAGAGTGTAAAAGAAAGAAAGAAAACACACAACCCAAGGGAGGGATGGGAGAACGGCACGCCGCCACCACACAGGGATTTTATTGAGAGTGTGACTAGGAGGGTGGGGCGCTGGGGATTCTCAAAGGTATACCCTTGGAATGGCCGGATCCAGCCTTAAAAGTACGAGATCGCGCGCGCTTCGCGCACAGCACCGCCTGTTCTCCGCGGCTGTGTGACGACGCGTGCCGTGTACCAGCAGAGTTGGGCGCGCGCGGCGCGACGGCGCCCGCGAGGGGAGGCGCGGGTGCAGCGGCCGCCGGCGGCCGTACCGCCCGCCAGCCGGCGCAGCAGCGGCCAGCGCAGCGGCCGCCGGCGCAGCAACCAGAGCAGCCGGTGCGCGCCTTGCGAGGCGAGTACTGCCGTCCGGCAGCCTTGAGGCGGCCGGGCGGCAGTACTCGTTCGAACTTTGCGAGCCGTGCGCGCGCCGAGGCGCCCGCGGCGCGCGCCCGCCCGGCTGCCAGTAGGAGGCGGCGCAATATGGCCTATAGTACAGCCCTTAGGAGGAGGAAGAGGCTGGCTGGCAGTGCTGTATGCCGCCGAGGGGCAGTTTTTGGGTGCTGTCCCCATCCCAGGGGGCTGCAGAACGCGTCCGCAGCCGGGACAACCCGCCCCCCCAGCCGAGGCCGGTCGAAGCCCACTTGGAGGCAGCCATGAGGAGTCCTCTTGGTGCTCCTGGCGGCCGTTGGAATGGCGAGCGCGCGCCGATGGGGGGGGGGGGGGTCTTGCTTGCTCCACACCGAGCGCCATCGGTCCGGACCGGTGCCTCCACCGAGGGGTGGCTTGCACAAGGTCTGAGCCGCGGGCGCTCGGCGCCAAGTGCAGTGTCACGCTCGCACGCGAAGGGGACACAATGGGAAACCCTCGTTTCCTATGTACTCGGTCCCCCAACGGAAGAGGCCTCGCTCCTATTGGAACACTCCAACATCAGATTTGCCGCGTGCGTCCCTTTTTGAGACGTCAAGCTATTTTCTTTTGGGTCCTGTGGGCACCCTAGCTATGCGCTGGTCTGTGAGAGGTTGATTGAGGTGCGAGCCCTGGAGGCCCTGGGGATGGGGGCTTGGGGGGAGACTACCCGCGGGCCTAGAAGGCCCGCGCGCAGGGGGGTGGGGCATTGAGACCGGTCATGAATGAGTGCGCGACACGCATGTTGCGAGCAGCGTTGTTGATGTTCTGCGGTCTCTCTTTCGCTACGTGTTCGCCGTCGGCGAACAACGTTCGACCATGGCACTGTTCACAGCGCGCGCGGACGGCCGTCCTGCGACTCCCGCTCCGCTGGACTTTTGTAAGAGCCTGTCGAGGACTGGGGCTCCACTCGAGGTCATGTTCATAGATTCCAAAGCATTGTTAATAGCAAAGGGGGGAAAAGGTACCCTCGACCCTCACGCCTGCAACCCTCGCGCGGCAGCACACCACTGCTCCGCACGAGACACCGTTGCAGGACCAACCCCAAAACGCGACAGCGCACACAAAACAGGGAGGGTGGGTGGGGAAGCAAGACAGGCCGTGTGGGGTGTGGGTGTCACGAGGACAGACGTCCACGAAGACGGTGGACGGACGCAAACTCCTTATCCAATTCACACTCACGGCTGTCCTACTGGTCATATAGAAAGTCGGCCGTCCGCGAGCCCCCAGCTCGCCGACGGCGAGAGAGATGCCACGAGGGGTCGCGGTGGCGTCCATCGCCAGGCTCCCTAGCTCAACCGACGACCCTTCGGGATCGACGGCCGATCGTCATCAGCTGCTCTCGGGTGATCCCGCTTTGGTGGCTGAAGGACCCGATGGTCCTGTCACATTCGTGTTCCGAGTCGTGGGGGTAGAAGAATTCTCTCTCTCGATATCGGTGTCGAAACAGTTTGCCAACAACATATTTAAAGCTCTGACAGCGCTCACAGCTGAAACACGGGCCGTATTCACAGCCTTGTTATTGAGAAGAAAATACCTCTTATGGCGCTGTGCGCTGGTCTGTGAGAGGTTGAGGTGCGAGCCCTGGAGGCCCTGGGGATGGGGTGAGACTACCCGCGGGCCTAGAAGGAAAACATCCCGCACCACAACCCATCCCCGCCTGACACAACCCATCCCCACAGGAAACACAACCCCCGCCGCGCAAGCAACGACAGTCGGAAGGCTGTATTCACCGGCCCAGTCGCGGAGTCGGCGGCCTTCCGAGTGGCGGGTCGAGCGTCGCTGCAGCCCGCCTCGTCTGGGTTCCCACCAGCAGCTGGAGAAAAATGGCCTTGCCTCTCGCGCCATCGATCCTTTGCCTCTCGCTGAGTGCGCTCGCTGTCTTTGGCGCCTGGCTTGAGCCCCCGTGCCGGTTCTCCATGCCGGTCCCAACTCGCTACACCGGCATCTGGTCGTTCCTTACGTTCCAGACCAACGTGATCAGCGCGGGCTACTTCGGGATCTGCGTCGTCTCCGCGCTGGTGCCCGACACCTTGTTGGACCCGTGCGTCGTGACAGGCTTCCCGCTTGCCTTCGCACTGGACCTGCTCCTGACGCCACTCTACTATGGGCTGGACCACTTCAACGCCGAGAACGTCAAGGTCCGCCGCAAGTGGATCCAGGGTGTCGAGATCGACGGGACGCGGATGGTCTACCCGTACGTCGAGGTGGCCGCACATCTGCAGCATGCGCCTGGCGCTGTGGTTGCCCTCGTGGCCGCCCTTTGCATTCAGGCGTCGCCGTCTCGCGTCGCCTGCACGGTTGGCCCGTGCTCGTACCTCGCCTTCTACCTCACGCAGACGATTGCCTGTCGGGTGGCGACAGGCGCGTGGGTATACCCGGTGCTTGAAGACGTCCAGCGGGCCGCAGGACTCGTCGGCGTCGGTGCCTTCATCCTCGTTGTGTGTGCCGTCGGCGCCGTGCTTGCATGGGTTGGGAAGGCCCTTGTGGACGCGCGCTTGGCATTGTAGCCCCCGCTCGTGACGGTCGTGTGGCGTCAGTGTGGCGCTGGTGTCAGAGGCGCTCTCGGCACTCGGGCCAGGACGGGGGCCAAGATGGCAGGGGTACGGGGGCCCCCTGCCCCTAGCGGGTAGCGCGTCGCGAGGCGCGTGTCGTGTACGAGCCCGGTTTTATATTCTACGTAGTTTCTCCTGAATTTCTCGTTACAGTAAGGCTCGGCTCCAAGAAGAAAAGACAGTACCCACGGCACAATTCACAGGAGAGAATGACTGAGCGCGGCGTTATCGGGCCACGCCCACGGCGCAAAAAAATTGTAGTTCGTCACCACAGCGCACAGGAATGCGGCGGGTGGGAGTCTGACCTGTGTGTAAGCGTACAGTGTGCTCAGCCGCTCTCGCGTCCGGGTTCGCGTCAGTCGTAGACTTTCTTCGTTCTCCTCCGCGGCTTCAGCCGCTCCGCAGCCACGCCTCCGTCGTCGTCGGCGCCGCCGCCCGCCGTCACCTCTCCCGGCTTGAGCTGCAGCGCCGCGTCAAAGAGCCAGTCGGGCACGTCGTCGCCGTCTGCGAGCGTCACCACCTTTGCAAAAGGGTGGATGTGAGTGCGGCAGGTGGTGGCTCACCACGAGGCTCCTCTCCGCCGCGCCTTTTGGACCTCACGGTGGGTCAGCTCGCCCGAGAGCCTCTCCGCCTGCCTAGGCAAGGGTTCCTCTCCACCCAAACCCAGCAACAGCGGCGGCTGCTCGCGCGCATCGCAGCGAGCGATGAGCCAGTCGCAGTGCGCAATGGCCGCCGCCGCATCATCGCGGGCGGCGCCCTCTGAGCTTCCGGCGGCGGACAGGGCGGCCGCATAGTCCGCGCGGGCCTGGGTCGCGATGCCGCGGAGCTGTTCGTGGAGGCTGCACATATGGACGGCGCGGTCGCGATGTCGGGAGACCAGGCGTCGTTCAGCGGGTAGGGGAGCTGCGAGCGAGGGCGCCACTGCCGAGGCGGCTTCCACCGCCTGCAAGCGGCCGGCCGTCGCAAAAAGAGAAATACCCGCGCGCCTAGTGGTGGGGTCCCCTAAAATGCGACCGCTAGGAGAGCCGCGTGTAGTCCTATAAAGTACCCGTACACCTAGCTAGTACCTTTAGAGCTAACGCGCACTCAGCGTTCTTGCTTGCCTTCCCTTCCCTTCCCTTACCTCTTGCTTGCCGATAACGCACGCCTCGCGCTGGCAGAAGATGAAGTTGACGTGCTGCGGCAACGGAAATCGCTTTCGCAGGTCAAAAGCGTGGCGATTGGAGGCGGTCGCGTCCCAGTTGACCGTGCCCCAGTCGGGGACCAGGGCCTTGGGCGTTCTTGGGTTGACGGTCAGCTGTTCGATCCACGACTGGATGACGTCCGACATGATCGCGTCGCCCTTCGTGTCGTCGTACTTCGGGTGCCGCCCGACCAGCATGTCTTCGATGAAGTACAGCCCTCCTCGCTTGACAGACGGCCAGAGCCCACGGAACGTAGAGAGGATCTGGCCGTTTGTGTGGCCTCCGTCGTCGATGATGGCGTCGAAGTCGTCGCCCGCTTCTCTCACCCATTCGGCCTGCGTCTGCTTGTTCGCCTGATTGCCCACGAGCGTGCGGATGCCAAAATCCTTCCACATACTCGAGTTGTGCTTGCTCACGCACGCCGCGTCAGTGTCGGCCATCCAGAGCTCCATATCAGCGAAGAGATCTCGCCATAATTTGGCGCTCGCGCCGGGACCGTAGTTCTGGTCGCACCCAAGCCCAATCTCCAGCATCTTCATCCTCCGGAACTGCGAGCGCGTGGAATAGTATAGCGGCACCAGGAACATGCCGTACATGGTCTGATAGCTGTGCGTGGTCACCTTGTCGGTGACAATTGGAGGCCGCGAACGCGCGGCGGTGACGACCTGCTTGATCATCGGCGCTGCGTACGACGGCTGTGCACGCGCGCCGGAGTGAAGCGAGAGAACGAAAAAGGCGACGGTTGGCCTCAACATGCGCGTTTTCTCGCAAAGGCTACCCGGGTGCTGTGAGCGCTGATATCCGTTCAATCGTTCACACCTTCGCGTTCACAGCGCGCATCATGGTACATGTACCGTATAGGTACCTGATCTGGCTGGTATCCTGCCTGGTACCCAGCGCACGTGACACGCCCGCGCACCCCTAAAGCGCTCGTGTCCGTGGACCGTGGTGGGCGCCTCGGAACAAAAACTAACCACCCGTCACCCTCCCTCCCGCTTCGCCTCCTGGTCGTCCTCCTCGAGCGGCCGCAGCCCGCCTGCCGCCGCCCCCTGCACAGGTCCGAGGATGTGATCGACCAGGCCCAGCGCCCTCGCCTCGCCCGCCTAGAGACGCTCGCACACCGCAGCTTGGAGCGAAAAGAGACGCGGCCGACTCGACTCTCGCCGCGAGTCGCGCCGTCAAGTGCACGTCCCTCACCATCTTGCTGTCGAGGCTGCCCGCGTCGGCGCCCGTCAGCCGGCCAAGCGTCTCTGCCCAGTGGCGGCGCTGCCTCTCCGACTCCCTGTGGGCACGCGGCGGGCCGAGGCGAGGTGAGGCGGAGGTGAGGTGAGATGAGGCGAGGCGAGGTGAGGTGGGTTGAGCTGAAGTGTCGCTGTGTGAAGCGTCCAGAGAGTGCTCAATGCTACCCGTCTCTCGCGCCTGGCTTGCGCAGAGAGGTCGTCGGCCTGCGCGTAGGACCCGACCGCCTCTCCGTCCCAGTGCGGCTGGTGGATCATCAGGCGCGCCTAGAGGCGAGGCGAGCACCCTCATCTCGGGCATCGCCTCGGCGCGCGGCTCAAGTCGCAAGGGCTTGCCGAGGCTGCGGCGTAGCGGTGGCCGGGCTCTCCGGCGGCGAGAAGCACGGCAGCCATCGAGCGGCAGCGGCCGAGGCAGACGGTGTGCACGGGCGACGAGACAGCACGGAGTGTGTCAAAAAGCGCAAAACCCGCCCAGAGAGAGCCGCCACTCGAGTTGATCACGAGCTCGATCGGCTCGCCCGGCGAGGCCGCCTCGAGCCACAGCAGACGCTTGATCAGCGCGTTGGCCGAGTCGTCTGTCACATCTCCGAGAAGGAAGACACGGCGGTGCGAGAGGTGGGCGGCGTCGAGTTCGCAATCGGACTGCGGCGGAGCAGGTTTGCCAGAGGAATCGGACGACGCGGAGTCAGCTGAGGCGGCTGCGCGTTTTGCGGCGATGCAGATCGCTCCGCCAGCGAGCAGGCGAGTCGCGGCGAAGCGCATGGATTGATCTGGGGTGCGCGCCCGTGGGGCGGCGCCGGAGTGGGCACAGGAGCTGTCACTCCACAGGAGCTGTCACTCCACGCCGATTGTGACTGCTCCTGTGGAGCTGGCTGTGGTCCGCGCGAAACCGCGAATCGTGCTCGGCATGAAATGCGCCGCTGTTTTGTTTTTTCTCTCTCTTACTGTCGTCACCCATGAGTGCGAGTTAGGGCTAGCGGCTGGCCAATAGCCTGTGAGGAGGGCGTCCATAGACACCTCACAAGACCCCACACACGGTCTCGTCCGTGCCTTGCGGCCGGCGACGAGATTGCTAGAGGCGGAGCAAGCCTGCTCTAGTCTCACACGTTCGCCCCTGTCGCCTGTCTGTGTTGTTGTGCTGTTGTTTGTCTCTTGGCACCTTGGAGTGCTGGGGGGGGCGACAGGGGGGACGTGGCCTGAGTGATGTGTACGCCCACTCAGGATGTGTGGCAGCCCGCTGGCTGTGTGTCTTGTGAGCTTGTTTGTGTCTGTGTGTCGCTCGTGCGTGTCGTCATCATCTGTCTTGCGTCCACCCATACCGCGTTGGTGTCCAGTCCGAGCCTGACTGTTCTTCACCTTACTACATACATACATACATACATGCCTTTGTCATAAAAATTCTTTAACTCTTTACGACAGACACAGACACAGACACAGACACAGACACAGACACAGACACAGACACAGACACACACACACACACACACACACACACACACACACACACACACACACACACACACACACACACACACACACACACACACACACACACACACACACGCACGCACGCACGCACGCACGCACACGCACGCACGCACGCACGCACGCACGCACGCACGCACGCACGCACGCACGCACGCACGCACGCACGCACACGCACACGCACACGCACACACACAGTGGTGGGGCAAGCGTACGGGGGGGCCGACCCTCGCTTCTCCACGGCCCCACAAGCAGTGTGCCGAGGTCTGCTGCCTCCGCGTGCGCACTCGTGGAGCAGGACAGTCAGTCAGTATTGACCGCGCGCGCGTATGCGGTCGCCGTTCTGATTGATCCAGCCGGGAATAGAACCCAGCTAATCTGAGCGTCTGTCTCTGTGTGGCAAGCTTCACTTTGGGGGCGGATGCCGTGTGCCTCCTTGGCTGCCCGGGGGGCGTGTGGCAGATAAGAAATATCACATCTGGCAGACTCGCCTGCCGGCATGTGGAAGACGGCTAGTGCTAGTCCCCCATCGTATCGGGAGGACGACCCCGGCTAGTCGCCGACCACACCCACAAAGAACCCTGCACAAAGATCGCAAGGGCGGGGACCTGTTCCTTTCTACCCACCTCACAGTAGAGAGTGTCCGTTTTTATTTATTTATTTCGCCTGCCTGCCGCCTCGGGCGGGCCTCGATCTGTCTGGTGTGAGGTTCATGAGCAAGAGCAATCGGCGGGCAAACGGCGGGCAATCGGCGGGCAAACTTGCGGACACACACACGCACACACACAGACCGACCGACAGAATTTAGCCCTGGGAGGTCGCCCATTCTTCAGTCATATGCGAGCGCGTGCACGCAACTTTGCTCATCCCCGCGCCGCCTGGCTTTTCGCGGCCGCGAGATACACACATATGGCTGCTCGTCCATGCCAGCTCGCCGCCGCGCTATCATTCATTGCGGACACGGCAGCCAAATCCCTACCTCCCTTCCCGTGGACCTTCAACGCCACTTTGAGCCGCTCCTACGACTTTGGCGGCGAGTCGCGCTCTTACCACGCCCTCGTCCCACGTCACGGCCTGTTGGTGGGAGCCATCTTCTACTTTCACGGCGCGACGCTCGACGCCGGCACGATGGCGTACCTGTCCAGAGACTTCACGGCCGAGGCGCTGCGGCGCGGGTACGCGCTGGTCTACCCAGAGGGCGTGCCGGACCCGGCCTCTTCTCAGCGGTGCAGAGAGCGGACCTGGAACGGCGGCACTTGCTGCGGGCAGCGCTGCTTGTCCGTGCAATCATCCCCACGCCATCTCCACGCCACGTTTCCGACTTATCCGATAGGCACGCTGTGACGGTGGAGCCGCGTCCCGACGACGTGAGCTACACGCTGGGCGTGCGCGCAGACCTGCTACGCCGCGTCCCGCACTTGCGCGGCCGGCCCCTCTTTCTGACTGGCATCTCCAACGGAGGCTCCATGGTCTTCCGCGTTGGCTGCGAGGCCTCCGAGGCCTTCCGCGCGATGGCGGCCGTCGTGGGGTCGCTCGAGATGCGAAACGCGACCGACTGCGGTTGCGATTGCGCCGACGGCGGCGACGGGTACACCTATTGCGCGTGGGACGAGCGTCGTCCGGGCTGCCGCCGCGATGATTGGCTCAACAGCGGGCGGGAGCTCATCTACTCGTGCCCGATGCGGAGAAGCAAGCCACCTCTGCTGATGTTCAACGGCCGGCTGGACGAGCTGACCAACATCAGCGGGGTGGTCGAATTGCCGACGAACCGCTCGAACGCCACCGCCTACTATGAGAACTACAGCCCAATCGGCTACGTGTGGGAGCACTTTGCGCGAGCCTACGGCTGCTCGGGCGACGCGCGGCTCAGCTTCTCAAACGGGACGGCGGGCAACTCGACCCAGTGCTTCAGCTTTGGCGGGTGCGCCTCCAACGTGACGTACTGCCTCTCGGACGCGGGTGGTGGCGCCTGCGCATCTCCCGTCCTTATCTGGTGCATTTTCAGGCCTCGGCCTTCGAATAGGCCACCACTGGTACGGCACGACGCTGCAGCTAGAGTACGTCAAGGAGGTCATGGAGTGGGCGGGCAAGAACCTGACTCTTCTGATGAACCAGACGTTTGCGCCGAGCACGTCGAGCGTGCACACGACGGAGCAGGTGTGCGCTCTACCTTTATGCTTGTGCCTCAGCTATGCCTCGGCCGTGCCTAGGAGCTAGGTCTCCAGGCGCACCTCGGCCGTACTTCGGCCGGGATCTCGATGGCAGGTGCTCGACTTTTTCGACCGCGAGGCAGCGGCGGCAAGCCCCGCTCCGCGTTTGGCCGACCGGAACGCGTTTGGGGAAGAAGGGGACCACGACGAGGGAGGAGGAGTAAGTGAATTGAAAATATGGAACGTGTGAGCTATAACGTGTGCGAACAACGACTTAACACATCGCGGCGCGCGCCCTGCGTTGCACTCCTGGATTGGGGCTAGCTTGGGACTTGGCTGTGGTGCACTTGGAGCACTTGGAGTGCAGTCATTAACCTCACACCCAGGGCCGGGGAGCTAAGAAGCGCACCCAGCGGGCCGGATGATCGATATCGGGTTGCGGGCAAGAGAGCCCTAGCCCTGGGGGGTGCGCGTTCGCAGGGAAAGGGCCGTAAAGGAAACACATTCCACACTTTTTTGTCAGGGCATGGCGGGTAGCGAACAGGCCGTTCCTCCTCCCGCCACGCCTCGCTTCCCGCTCGGCGAGCCGGCGGAAGCCACGGGCGGCGGGCTGCGCGGCCTCGTGCAGCAGAAAGAACGCGAGCTGCACGACATCAACGAGTATCGCATCCACGCTCTCGAGGGCCTCGTGGCGGACCGCGAGCGAGAGGCGCGCTCCGCCCCCTTCCGCCGCGCCGCGCTCCGCTGAGACCGAGCACACACCCGCCGTACCGCGCACCGCATTATCACCACCGTCACTGCCACCACCAGCACCCGCGGCTGTTGCCGCCGCCGCCGCCGCCGCCCGCCCGCCCGCCTGCTGCCCGCAACTCGCCACCGGCTGCCAGCACGACCGGCTTGCCTTAGCCCCTCCGGCGACGGCAGGCGGAGGTGTCGCGCGAGCGGCTGGCGAAGCTCAAGGAGGACTTCACCTACAACCTCCGCCTCCTCGAGGAGCGGGACGCCGAGCTCGAGCGCTACGACGCCGCGTTTGCGAGCCTGCGCGCTGCTCTGCGCGACAAGGAGTCCGAGGCGTCGGAGCTGCGGATCGCGGCGGCGGAGGCGGCGCATGCGGTGGCGCACGAGCGCGAGGCCTCCGCAGAGGCTGGCCGCAAGCTCGAGGCGGCGGTGGCGCGCGGGCGGGAGGAGGCCGAGGCGATCCGCTGGAAGAGAGAGGACGAGCTTCAGGATCCGCCGAGATCCGCCGAGATCCGGCGAGATCCGGCGAGATCCGGCGAGATCCGGCGAGATGTGCGGTGGGCTGGAAGAGATGAGAGGACGACTCGCAGCTGCCGGCGAATCTCACGCCATCTCGGCGAATCTCGGGGACTCGCGGCTAATCTCGGCAGATCTTGGGCAGTCTCGGCTGATCTCGGACGATCTCGGGCGATCTCGGGCGATCTCGCAGGCGCTGGCGGCGGAGCTGGAGTCGGCGAAGCGGACGGCGGCGCGCAGGGTGGCGGAGGCGGAGGAGGCGCTGAGTGCGGAGCGGCGCGACGGCGCGATGGCGCTGGAGGCGCACGGCAGCGTGGGGCGCGAGCAGACGGGTGGTCGGGTCTTGGGCTCTGAGGCTCTTTGGGCTCTGATGTCGGTAGGAGCACAGCCGCAGCTTGGAGAGAGGGCAGCGCGAGGCCAGAGCCGCTCGAGCAGCCTCCGCGCGCGTGAACGGCGTCTCCCCACCCGTCCAGAGCCGTGCGCAGGTGGTCGAGGCGCTCGAGCAGCGGCTGCGAGCTGCAGAGCACCGGGCGGCGGCGGCGGCGGAGGAGGAGGAGGAGGCGCGGGCGGCTGAGCGGCGCGAGGCGGCGCGCGCGGACGCGGCGGAGGGGCGGCTGGAGGCGGTGGCGCGGGCGGAGGAGGAGGCGAGGGGGGCGGTGGAGAGAGAGGCCGCGGCGCGGGTGGCGGCGGAGGCGGAGCTGGCTGCGGCGAGGGCAGAGGCGGCGG